AAAAAATATGACATTTATTAAAATTCTATGAATAACAATCTATTAAAGAATGAAAACGAAATTATATTAGGTACCATAGTAACGCGTTTTGATTTTTAGGATTTAGAAAAAAATCAACTATATTTTAAGAATGCATTTTTCCAAAATGTTAATATTAAAAAAGTTTTTCCTGTAGACAATTTATTTCATATCGGAAGAAAAAGATCCAACAATAATAGAATATGCAGGGTGTTCCGTTTAAAAAATTGAAATTATAATTTTTTTTGAACTTCCCATCGTGTTTTGTTTATTTTTGTTTCACTTTCTGGCTGTTCAGCAAGTTCTGCATTTAAAGTGTTTTACTATATTCAATAGGTAAACCTGCTGATATCGAACTAGATATCTATGAAAACCCTTTATAAATAATTTTGAAGAAAGTGTTACAAAATTTTATTTAAATTACCGCAAATTGCACCTAAAATCTAGTTTTAGGGTTATTGCTACGATTTTTTACCACTGAAGTGGTTTACTGGCGTCAGTCTCCCATTTTTATAGGAATTATCCGGTTGTGACACTTTCGCTTTCTTTGAACCCTAGTTCGCACTTTTATTAAGCGACTCATTGTTAGAGCGATGAAACGGGAGACCACCCAAAGAGATTAGGGGTACGTTGGAGATAAGACTAATTTATACAGGATGGGGTTGCAAAACACGCATAGTATGTTTACAAGTTTTAACAGTTTTTTAATAATTATTTCAGTTTAATCAATGCAACCGCTACCGCAAAAATGTATAGTTTTACCGTGGAGACTATAAATTACGCTCTTATCTATCTTTTGTGTTGTAGCTAGGGTTTCCAATTTTCGGGATACCGTTTTGAAATCCCGGGATTAGAACCTATAATCCCCGAATCCCGGGATTGACTATCAGAATGATAAATTTAATCTAAAGAAATATTTAATAAAAATGTAGATACGTATATCAAAAAGAAAATGAGAAAAGAGCTTTATTTAAAATGGACAAAACGAAGTAACATTCTTATTTAGGGATAAAAAAAAGATTGACGTTCTGCTTAGTCTAAATAAAATAAAATGTTTTAAAGACTAAAGTGTATAAAGTCGAATCATCTTAGATTGCGCATTTAAATTTTTCGAGATTTTCAGGATCCCGGAATTTAATATCGGGATTTCGGGATTAAATACCCTAGTGGTATCTGATGCATTGGTTAAATCAAAATAATTCAAAAACTGTTTATGCAAATACAAACAAAAAAGAAATTTTTGAAAAAAAAAGAATGAAAAAACCTTAAAATATATAAAATAAATAATAAAATAATGGAACTTCGATAATTCGGACACATATCGGAACAGCTACCGCTAAATTAGAATATTTTTATAATGTTATTGTGACATACTTTTATTGATTTCAACTGAAACTCAAAATTCAAACACATTTTTAATATCCATAGGACTTTTTTGGAGAGATGAATCCGCCACACATAAGTATAGATATTTTTTATCTTTCATATAAGTTCCCCTTTTTGATGTTCATATATAAATTCATAATGTATTTATCGGGGAAACCCGAATTTTGTCAGGATTTCAAATCTTAATTGCCTTGAGTTTCCAAAAACTTATAGTATCCATTAGTGTTTTGATTCATATTAAAGAAAATTTCAGCATTAAGAATTTCAATACAGGGTGGCGCCTCGCATATGACGCGGAGGCTCCAAGGGGCACGACTTGACAGCTGGTATCGAAATGAAATTTTGTGAGCTTTTTTTTTGTGTAGGTTAATTTAGAGCATTTTTTAAAAATATTGAGAGTTTTACAGAGTCTCCCAAAAGAAGATACACATCAAAGTTGTATTTTCTGTAATGGAACACCCTATATATTAGTTGATTTTCGGATTCTAGTAGAAAAATAATGGTGAGTTTCATTAGAGAACATATATGACTAAAATGTAAGGTTTGGTTTGGGTTTTCTAAAAATGAAGAACAAATTTTAAATTTCAATAAAAAACTACCTAAACTGGAATTTTCCTAGTATAGCCTAATATGTAATTAAAATAACTATTGTTCTTTAAATCAAACTAAAACTTGACCCAAAAAGTTAAACAGGGTGAGACAAAATTAATATTGAACATTGATCACCTTTAAAAGCAAGTCACTCTTTTATTTTAAATGAAACACCCAGTATATTATTCCGATATTCAAGGGGGAATTCATGTCTCTTCAAAATACTGTAAAGGTTGCCTAGCTCTCACTCTTTGTTCGAGAGCTAGGCAAGGGTTCATAGATATTTTCATTTTTATGATTTAATGTCAGTAGATCTTTATTATTATTTGATAAAATCTAGGTGGCCGTGAGACACCTGACGTTACTTCAACATAGCTGTGAATTTAGTTCACCTTTAACAACTAGTTTTTATATCAGTTAAAATTTAAAAACTTGTCAGAAATTTACCAAAAATAGAAACTTATCCTACAGCAGAGAGAATTGATATGATTCTATTAATTGGTGACTGTAGTGTGCATTCATGTTTGGACTTTTTTATGGGGATATGTTGAAGACAGTGTTTAAAAAACTCGACTAATTATTGTCGACAACATGAGAGAAATGAATGTCGCTGCTTTTCAAAGTCGAAGTCCAGATATGTCTCTTAACATAAAAAGATCTTTTGAAAAAAGAATAATTTTGAGCATTTGATTTTTTTTAGCTAATTTTTGTCACATAATTATACATCTATAACTAGTTTTAATTCTGTAATAATTAAAATATGTTTTAAACGTGTCTTATCTTAAAAATCTGTTTATTACCGTTGAATATTTTACTCAACATCTTTTAATTTTTGTTAAATTAACGAAAGGTCTATCACAGCCACCTAGATATTATCAATTAATAAAGATCTACTGGTGCAAAATCACAAAAATAAAAATATCTAGAAAAAACTTCGTTCAAAGGGGTAGGCAACCTTAATAGTATTTTGAAGATATATGAATTCTCCATTGAATATCGGAATAATATACTAGGACTAAATAAAGGAGTAACTTTCTTTTAAAAGTAACCATTGTTCATTCAATATTAATCATGTCTCGCCTTGTATAACTTTTCGGGTCAAATTTTTATTTGGTTTTATATAAAAGAGTTATTTTAACTAAATATCGGGATATACAGGATAAATTACAATTTAAGTAGCTATAATTGAAATTTAAAATTTATTCTTCATTTTCACAAAATGTCAAATATGTCAAAAACCTTTCATTTTAGGGATATGCTTCTTTAATGAAACTCATGTTTATTTTTTTTTCTAGAATCCAAAAATCAATTAATATATAGAGTGTTCCATTACAAAAAAAACCAACTTTGACACGTAACTTTTTAGGGGACGTCCTGTAGAACTCTCTATATTTATAAAAAAATGCTCTAAATTAACCTACATCTGCTCCCAAAATTTTATTTCAATATAAATTACCGTTCTCCTTGGAGCTTCCGAGTCGTATGAGAGGTGCCACCCTGTATTTCAAATTTCATACCATATTAGAAACCATATTTATGACTTAAATATAACCTCAACCCCGAACACATCGAATCTCCAGACCGACCGAAAACCGAATCTACTCTCTAATCCTGCTCCGCCATAATAATTTCGTCGTCTCATCCGACCAATAATATTGGGATTTTGGAGCGTCGCCGTTCGGTAAAATTAGACCTCTCCCGTTAAGTAAAAAGCCATTAAGGACCGCGCGGTCGGCCCCCGTATCGGGTTGCGGTGTAACCGGAGCCCCGTAGCGCGCGGCGGGGGGCGCCGAAGAGATTGGCCAGGCGGGGGCGCCCCGCTGCGGCTGGTGTGGCCCCGGATCATCCACACCCTTCCGCAGACAAGTTTTTCGAGGAATTAGAGGGCGAATTAGACGTGGAATAGGCGCTACTGTTTTTAATAATAGGCGTTTAAAGAATGTCATGTACTTCGAATTTCGAGTTGATAACTGTCCCACTGCCATGGACGTATTATCGATATATCATTTTATTCATTTTATGGAAAGCAGTGTTCATTAAAATGTTGTATACTATGTTATAGGGCTTGTTTCTCTCTACAATTTCCTGTCTGACAATGTACCGTTTGTGTCGGGGAAGGGCTCATAGTTTAATAGTTGCCGATTTTCCAAAGAAATCAGTACATGTATATTATTTCGTATATTTTTCATTTTATTGATTTTATGGAAAGCACTGTTCATTAAAATGTTGTATCCTATATTATAGGGCTTGTTTCTCTCTACAATTTCCTGTCTGACAATGTACCGTTTGTGTCGGGTAAGGGCTCATAGTTTAATAGTTGTCGATTTTCCAAAGAAATCAGTACATATATATTATTTCGTATATTTTTCATTTTATTGATTTTATGGAAAGCACTGTTCATTAAAATGTTGTATCCTATGTTACAGGGCTTGCTTATCTCTACAATTTCCTGTCTGACAATGTACCGTTTGTGTCGGGTAAGGGCTCATAGTTTAATAGTTGTCGATTTTCCAAAGAAATCAGTACATGTATATTATTTCGTATATTTTTCATTTTATTGATTTTATGGAAAGCACTGTTCATTAAAATGTTGTATCCTATATTATAGGGCTTGTTTCTCTCTACAATTTCCTGTCTGACAATGTACCGTTTGTGTCGGGTAAGGGCTCATAGTTTAATAGTTGCCGATTTTCCAAAGAAATCAGTACATGTATATTATTTCGTATATTTTTCATTTTATTGATTTTATGGAAAGCACTGTTCACTAAAATGTTGTATCCTATATTATAGGGCTTGTTTCTCTCTACAATTTCCTGTCTGACAATGTACCGTTTGTGTCGGGTAAGGGCTCATAGTTTAATAGTTGTCGATTTTCCAAAGAAATCAGTACATATATATTATTTCGTATATTTTTCATTTTATTGATTTTATGGAAAGCACTGTTCATTAAAATGTTGTATCCTATGTTACAGGGCTTGCTTATCTCTACAATTTCCTGTCTGACAATGTACCGTTTGTGTCGGGTAAGGGCTCATAGTTTAATAGTTGTCGATTTTCCAAAGAAATCAGTACATGTATATTATTTCGTATATTTTTCATTTTATTGATTTTATGGAAAGCACTGTTCATTAAAATGTTGCCGGGCTTGCTTATCTCTACAATTTCCTGTCTGACAATGTACCGTTTGTGTCGGGGAAGGGATCATAGTTTAATAGTTGTCGATTTTCCAAAGAAATCAGTACATGTATATGATTTCGTATATTTTTCATTTTATTGATTTTATGGAAAGCACTGTTCATTAAAACGTTGTATCCTTTGTTATAGGGCTTATTTCTACAATTTCCTGTCTCACAATATACCGTTTGTGTCGGAGAAGGGATCATAGTTTCATAGTTGTCGATTTTCGAAAGAAATCAGTACATGTATATTGTTTCGTATATTTTTCATTTTATTGGTTATAAGATATACCATACGATAAAAAAACGGCGTCAAAGATGGCTGGGGAATGACGGCAACTGCCAGCTGGCCTTCAGAAAGTTGTAATTTATTTTTATTTGAGTAAAATTGATTTTGAAATGTTTAGTTTAAAATTCGAGAAAATATTTTTTTTTGGGAAATACGATAACTGGAAACGTTCTGTTCTTTTTGATCTTTCTGTAATAATTAGTGTTAATTTTTGACAGACGTTTAGAAGTTTTTATATTTATTTTCAGTAAATGACGTCTAGAGCTTGACCTCGCCAAAATTATCATTCTTTCTTAAAAGATGAGGTATTGTACCCTGAATTCTAGACTATTTAGGAAACACCCTGTATAATTCTATTTATTATTGGGATGTCTGCGAAACTTTGTTAGTCATTAGTGGTAATTATATTAGTGTTTCTTAGATATTTTTTAATTTCTAATTGTTCTAGTAAGTCTAATTTTATACATATTTTTTTTTTCTCAGAATGTAGTAAAATCAGTATTTTCTAAATCTATAAAATGGTCGATTTCAATAAAATGTGTGGACATTCAAGTACTTTTTGTACTATTTAAGATATTTTTATGCTCCTTAATTCTACATCTAATACTTCCATTGTACAGGATTTTTAGATATATTTAGTGCCATATCTTCAGGTTTACCTACTTGAGGTAGTAGGTAAACTTTAAATGTAAGATCTCTAAGGTTTTACCTGATCCGCCACAAAGTTAAATAAAAGAAAACAAAAGACGATCAAAAAATGTATAACTTCACTTTCTTTTAATGGAACATCCTGCATATTAAAGTTTTTTTGAAAGATCTTTTTCTTCCGATTTCAAAGTTATATCTTTGTCTATACCGGGTGCGTCTCAAAAGTGGCTCACCCCTATAACTTTTTCATTTTTTTAGTTAATAAAACGAGATTTGGTATGTTAGTATATGACATAAATTAGGATTGATTGACGTATTCAATTGTTTTCGGTCACTTCCTTTTCATCGGAAATGACTACAATTTTTGATTTTAAAAAAATATTTTCTCAGTATTTTTTTTACTTTATTCGAAAGAAAATAGCACTCTGAATAGAATGACATATCATATGTCAACTTTTGACATTTTCGCATATGGTTTATTTGAAATTATAACTTGCGGTTCGTAACGAAAATTTGAAGCAATACGCAACTGAACGAAGCATACCGAT